TCCAAAATTGGGTTCAGCGTCTGTCCGTTTTTATTTATTTTTTTTTTGTAGCGAAGCAATTTTTAATACAATAATAAAGGAAAACCAAAATTTATAACAAAATTATTTGAAGTAATAAATTTTAAATTTGTATTCCTCGACGTACAAAATGCTCGCCAAAATCGATTTATGTATTTGTAGCTTAGTATTTTTGAGTTGCAAACAGTTATTCGTTGCTGTAAAACATGAATTTATATTGTTTGATACAAAGATGTCTAGACTTGCTATAATATTCTTTTTTTTAATATTAATTTTCAGAGTTACTTAAGTAAGTTAATATACGTAGTATGGTTTATTGTTCGAGCAATTCAAATCTTAAAGAGTAAACGATTATCAAGTGTATTAAATTTATTATATTAATTTTTATTTTATTTTGTAAGTAACTGAGTTCTATTTTATTTCTTCTTTTTCGTAGGACATTGATAATTTCGGTTAAAAATTTTAGTAGGAGCATTTTTTTAGTAAATACAACTCTGTTACTCTAATTAGCGCATTTTTTAAAAAAGCAAGGTTTACTTAATATTTTTTGAGAAAAGCAAATTATTTCGGTTTAAGCATTTTTTGAATTCTTCAACGTTTTTCAGAAATATCAATTTATTGTTATCGAATGATATCGATAAATTACTGTTTTTTTTTATCGATGGACCAAATTTTTAATTCATACGACATTAGTAAGCATGAAGTTTCGTGGACTGGTGTCTACATTTCATTGAATTCTCAAAGAATATATATCGATTATAATTAATTGATATCGAAATATATCGTAATGTTTACTTTTTTTATCGATATACTGCATTTTGAAACTCTTACGACAATGCACAAAAATATGGATTACAAAGTATCAATATCGAAGAGTAAGATTATCGATATTTAATATTTCAAAAAAATCGGAAAAATAAGTTTTGTGGATTGATATTCACATTTAGCTGATTTCTCAAGTTAATAATTTTAAATAATTGATGATATTTTTAAACCCAAAAATCTTGTTGTTGGTAAAGAAAAAAAAATCGTTTTTCAATGTCTTGTAGCTGTTTTCATCAGTTGGTACATATATTTCAGCAAACAAAAATCGATATGGTATATCGATGAATAGTCTCGTAATCGAAAAATATCGATAACTAATTATAGTTTATAAAAATATCGTTATCGAAAATTGGCCTTTTTTACAAAAAGATAGTATCGATAACTGAGCGCTTCGATAATTGTTCGTTTTTCTAGCAATATCGATAAATGGTAATTTTTTGCAATCGAAAGGTATCGATAACTGTTCGTTTTTGAAATCAAAAAATTAAGTTTTTCGAGTTTAATTCATTTTAATTAGCGCTAATCAGCACAACAGAGCTGCATTCACCAGTTTCACTGCATGCTAAGTATTAGGTTTGCGCTTTCAGTATGATTTTTTTGAATTTTTATTTTTGGTTTGCTGCTAAGTTGATACTTTTGTTATTGTTAAATGCCTGCATATTTACTAAACTAATAGGATTTTTTGCTGTTCATATATACTTTTTAATGCTATTTTTCGCGACTTTTGTTGCTGGAAAAAAATTATCTTCTGTATTTGTAGTAGGTCTATATCAGTTAGCGTATATGATTGCGTGTGTGTGTATGTATGTGTGGTTTTTACTTTTGTGTGGGCTGTTTTCGCTGTCTTGAGATGCTAGTCTATTTCTGGCTGCAAGTTGCTTAGGTTCGTTTACTGCGTTATTTACTGTAAAAAATTGTACAAAGTCCTTGTGGGCCTTTTTATTTTTTGTATTTTATTGTTTGTTGTTGTTTTTCTATGAATTATTATTTTATTTTTTTTTTGCTCGCCTGTTTGCTTTTATGGTTTTAGAAATATTTTTTTAAATTTATTTCGCTGCTTTCGTTTGCTTTGCTTTTTGTTTTTGTTATTTACTTTTGCTTTACGCTTTTGTTCTCACCCGCTTTGACTCATGTTATATACATATTACTGCGCTATGAGACGTTGTAAGACAATTGCCATTCATGCTTTGTATGCCATTTATTAAAATACATTGAGTTTTTGTTGCTAAATTGTTATTGTTGTTTTAGGGTTTTTTGTTGCTGTATATGTAACTGCAGTTTTTGCTGTAGTATTTTTTATTTTTGAATGTTTTTTTTTTCAATTTTGTAAGTATGCTTTTCTTGTTTTATTTATTACTTTCGTCAGTTATTTTTTCGGCTTGAGTTGTTTGTTTGTATGTGTGTTCATTCTTCTTTTTTTCTAGTTTTTTACTGCTTATTTTTATTTTTGCTTACTGTTTTCTTCTCTGCTGACTTTTTCATGTTTTTCGGTATGTTATATTTTTTATTTCTATTTTGTTTTTTTTTTTTTACAGCACAAATACAATATTTACAAATTGTTTTTGTTTTTTTGTTGTTTTTTTACTTTTATGCTTATATAAAGTTCCCTTCTGCCTTAATTGTTTAATGCGTTCCCTCGCCCCTTTAATTAACTGTTTCTCTTATTTTTTGCTTTTCTATACTTTCTCTCTATTTCCGCTTTATTTATGTTTTAATTTTTGCTTTCATCCATTTTATCTTTTGCTTAATTAACTATTTTACCTGTTACCAATTCTGTCTCCACACTGTTTTTACATCAATTTGCTTAATTTGTAATGAATATTGTTTGTTCAATATATTGTTTTTGTTGTTGTTGTTGCTTTTTTGTTGTAATTTAAAATGGTGAAAAAATATGTACGCTTCTGCTTCTATTTGTTTGTAAGTATGTATATATTTTTTTATTTTAAACAATTTTACCGGGGCTCCTCCAACTTGCGTTGTGTCTTTCATTCTCTCTCGCGCTCTTTAGCTGCTGCTCGTGCCCACACTTACAGCTCCAGTTGCTCTTCCTTTTCGCTATAATTGCACGCGCTGGCTTGATCCATGCTCGCTCTCTCTCTCTCTTGCACCAATACATGTCCTCCTGCTTCTCTTCTTCTTCTCTTTACTCCTCTTCACTTGTATACTTTATCTCACCTATTACAAAAATGTATTTCAAAATTTTATTGTTTCTATGCATGTATGTATAATGTTTTTATTGTATTGTTGTTGTAGTTATTATAATTATTTTTTGTTGTTTTTGTTTTTAATACACATAAGCTGTTGTATTTGATTTAATTTTAATATGCAGCGTGTGTGCGCATGCGCACTGCTCTTTCTATTCAATGTTCTGTTTTGCCTGCTTATTTTTTTTGTTGTAGTTTTTGTATTTGTTTATGCTTTTTAAATTTATGCGTTGTTGTTTTTCGGTTTCCTCTGTTCAGTTTTAGGTTTATTGTTTTCGCTGTCTCTTGTTTTTGCTTTTTTTTTGTTGTAAATTTATTAGTTATGAGTTGTTTATTGTTGTTGTGCTGTCGTTTTTTGCTCTTTAACAAATTTATTGTTCGTTTTTCGTTTGTCTTCCTTTCGGAAATACTAAATTATGCGAACAAAATGGTTTTCAATAACAATTTATCCTGAACTTAATGCATTTTTGGCCTTTGCTTAGGGTTTACAACATTGAAAAACAGTAAAAACTTATTTTATAGCCTATAAATATAAACGAGATCAAAATTTTAAAATGCTATAATTTTATAAAAACAACTGTCTTTACTTTAAGTCCAAGAAAAAATTATTATTTCTTTATAAAAAAATTAACAAAAATGCCTTAAATTGCATAAGAAACCTTAAAAATCGTAAACAGGATTGCCAAACGCTGAAATTTCAAAATTGTGTTATAATTTTTCTAAGCGACAATACCGAACTAATAAACTAATATAAAATATGCCGAAGCTATTTAAGCACGCTGGTAACATCTCAGCTGTCAAATGTTTGGTCCATGCTTTGGAAATACTAGGCCAACCCTTATTTTTACTTGGAGTATTTTTTTGCAAGTTGCTTTCAAGAGCTGTCTGTATTCGCTGCTACTAAAGCTGTTATCGATTCACCAAACATTTGAGAGTGGCGAATCCATGCTGGCTCAATTCGCTACTCTCCTGTGTTTGGTGAATCGATAACAGTTTTACTGCCCTAAAGAGTTTCAAATATTTTTTTGTCGTATCCAAAAATCGCTGACAATCACTGATGTCTAATATAATTCCTATATAGTACCCTAATATCTTAGGGTTGATATTACAATGTGTTTTTTTTTGTCTTACTTATGCAGTTAGGATGGGAAACCATGCAATTACAGCGCTTTCTCACGCCTCTCTACATATAATTTAAGCTTAGGACCTGCCTTCTAAGTCTCTTGCTGATATGTCTCTCTGAAACCTTTGTATAGATAGTTACGCCTACAAAATTGAGTGTTGAGCTAAAGATGTTCTATACCTATCTTCCTTATCGACGTGTAATTTAAATTTATAAACGTCTAATATAAGGTGTCTATCAAGGGTCTGCCAGCTTTCCTACTATAGTATTCAAAAATCTCTTCTCAATGCATAACTTTAGGCGATACTCATTTTGCGCTCATTCATCCGATTCTTAAAATATTTAGTAATTATTAGATTCCATTTGAACGCCATGACATTTTGAAACTTACTTTAAAGTAATTCCTCCAAAGGGATCTAATTTAAATACACGCAAGTATTTAGAGTAAGAAGAACCTATAATGGTTTCCAGGATATAGTGATATCCCTGAGAAATGCGAAGAGGTTGAACTAGCTAGAATCATCTGCCTTATCACCATATTTGATTTTTTTCCCAGGCACTATACTAGAATTAGACACCGGCGGTAAAAAAGGAATTTATGTATATGCCTTTAGCTTCTTGCAGAAAAATATGTTGAGTCTCAGTGGAATCAGTGGAAATATGGTCCTAATATGTGACTCTTAAAATTTAAAAGAAATTATATAGCATCTAGGAGTGCTAAGAGGTGACTGTATAATAGGCAGCCAGTAGACCAGGGATGTCATAGCAGGACTACAGTAGAAGCTGTCGGGAGGTAGAAGATAAGGATACTATAAAACGCCTTCTATGCGAATGTAAGCTTCCATATAGGAAAATAATCGCAATAGTTTGAGAGTTTCTTGACAACGACTCGGAGATTGTATAGATACAACTTGTACTGATGAACTTTATCAGAAGCATAGGGAGGTGTAGAGTGGGGCCAATGCAGTTAGAGGACTTTTGTCGCGGCAGTATCACAATGGGGACTTAGGTTCGTCGTTAGACATCTCTCTACCTACTTACTAATTAGGAGAATAACTCTGCCTACTATTAAAACGAAATAACCACTGTAATGTCCTTTACTACTACGTTGATGACCTTGCTCTTGGATGATAAACATTTGTCTGTTAGGTTAATTCGAAATATTGACAGATTCCTAATAGAAAGCTCAGTAGGGTTTATAAAGAAGAGTTCATAACCTGTATATAATATACATACTATTCCTTCTTCCAATACCTCAATAGACAAAAATTTATGCTACTTGTTCTAGATCTTGACCTTGCCTTCATAAATCCATGTAAAATGCATAACTTTAATCTCGAGATTAAAAATTTAAGTAGCTTTTGTCATCTTCCTTAAAGAAATTTGGTTAAACTTTGACTTTAAAAATATTGAATTCATAAATTGGGTCTAATATTTATTATTTACGATCGAAATGCCTTAACTGACTCGTTTGACAAGCTTTCAGCTGAGTTCGAAAGATTTTTAGCATTTTTTAAGACGTTCTTTTTTGATGTCTCTGAACGATATCTCTGGGTATTGATATTGGAGATCTGTTAGTATGAAAAGTCTTTCTGACTTTAGACCTTCCCGCGGTCGAATTACGAGTTGATCAACCTGTATTTAGACTAGTTAAGACTTTTCAACAAAATTTACACACAAAATTCGATAGTTGGTATAAACACTTACGCAATTTGGCAAACCTGTTACTAAATAGTATCGAGATCATATTTTTAAATAAAATCGTGTGATGTTACTTAACAGACTTTAGACTTAAAGTTTTACATAACGTTTCGGAACAAAAATATATATACTATATAAATAGAAGAACTGGGACCACATATTCTCGAACTTACAAATTACATTTTCAAATACATTTAAGTAAAGTGTTTGCGTGTAGTGTTGTTGGTTTTGATTTTATGTTTCTAAAAGTCTGTTCTTTACGGTAAATTATGGGGATTGGCGTAGTTAGGGCTATTGTTGTTGTTGTAATTTTTTTTATAATTTTTGCTTTTTGCTTTATGGGGCTTGCTTTCAGTTGCTTTTTTCGCTGTCATTTATTGTGCTTTTCATAAGCTTTTAAAAATGGCGCACTTTCACCGCGTCAAAACTAAGCTTTCATTGTTACTGACTTTGCGCTCATGCTTTCGCTTTCTTTTCTGTTTTTGGTTCTTTCTTTAAAATAAAATTATTTAGCGGTGTATATTTTTAAATTTTTTGTTATTGCTGTACAAAACCTACACACATATTTACCATCAAAACCGCCATAAACCTAATTTTCATTTAATTCATTTTGACATTCATTGACAAATCTGCAACATCGCGCTCTCTCTCTCCCTCCGTTCTCTTCCTGCCTCACTCTATATCTCCATGTCTCTCTCGCTCTCTCTTGTAATCATCATGCTTGCAATCGTGTATTTGCTTCGTTTTCTTTAATTTCTTGTTTTCGTTATGGGTAATGCGAGCTTTTAGGTACATTTACTTGTAATTAGTGAGAAGTAAAAAGTCTTTGATTTGGCGCTGCATTAGAGACTTACTTGCTGCATTTTATCAAAATCTAAACACGGCCGATGTGGTCGCTGTAGCCTCTGTGTGGCGTGTTGTGTGCGTATCGGTCGGCGGTGTGGTGATCTAGCCGAATGGAAGAGTTTCGCCGGTGGACTAACCGAGCGCACCTCCATCGCATCGAGGCCGGTCGTCGATGCGGGACTACTGCGCGAACTATTATAGTGGAAATTATATTTGGGTTGCGGCTGATAGATATGATGGCTGCTATTGCTCATCTTAAGCGATGAGGTGCACACCTTAATCACACTCGTTGAACTGTTGTCGCCAGCGCATGCACCGCCAGCCTGTGCGGCATTGCCGCTAGACGCACCCGACGCCGCTGTTGCGGCACATGACGACGCGCCGCCAGCAGCAGCCTCACCATTTTCGTCATTAACACTATTATCACATAATTTAATATTTTCGATGCCGCAACGCGCCTCCGATAGTATCAGTGGCGTTGTGGAGCGATATTTGTGGCTGCGGTTTGGCTTGAAAGCTTCCAATGGTGGTGATGTGCGAAAATTCACTGGTGTCAATACTGGTTCCAAGAAGTTTCTCAGCTGCTAAACGTGCAAAACCATGCGAAGAACAAAAACAAAAAGGAACGGTATTAGTTAGTAACACTTTCCGAAATTTTGTACTTGCAAAAAATTTTATTAACCACTTACGTCATCATCGGAGCTATGCGCCAGAGATCGTTTGCGATTCTCAACCAAAGTTGAGCTGGAACGTTTCGATGTCGACGCTTCGCCGAATAGCTCCTCGGGCTCCAACGACGACGAGCCACGCTCCGATATGAGTGATGAGGTGGTGCCACGCACCACCAATACATTGGATGCCGCTTCGGCGGCTGCTACCGATGATGGGCCATTGATCACTTCCAGTTCCTCTTCGGAGCTGTGTTGATCGTATAAAAGGTGGGATTGACACATCATCGCAGAAGACGCTGACGAAGAGCAGGCGGTGTCTGTTGTTGGCGAATTCACATCGGCGCAGGAGCTTAAGCCTAAAGGAAGCACGAAAATGTGATTAGGTATTATGTATTTAAGCTTTACTTCGCGAGTCTTAAATAAGCAAACAATAGTAAGTCCGCGAGTTCGTGCAAAATGAGGTCAAAACTTATCAAGAAGTATAGACAGCTCAGCAGCCTTCTGAATTACCTTCATGAATTTGAGAGATCGGAGAGCTCTAGTCGGACTTTTCTAGTCCTTATTCTAGTAAATGATTTTAAATAACAAATACTACATTTCTAAGCATAAAGAACATCTAAAGATCTATCAAGTCACCGTGTTTAACACTCTCTGAATACTCAAGGGAGAGTCTCTGGGTTACTCTATCAGAAAAGAAATATTAAGTGAATCCGAGGGCCTTAAACTCTAGCGAGGATACCAACCAGCTGGTTAGCCGTACTTTTCCAGTTAAGGGTGTACGCTCTTAAATCGCAATTCTTAATACGTTTGCAGTGGTCGTCGTCAAAAGGGAAATTTCTCATCCGCGGCAGCTTTATTCTTTTCATTGGTAGTGTTTTTTACATGGCGGGTCCCAAATCTGGCGAACAAAGATGGTGTTTCGCCTTCTTACATTAGCTCGCCTTCAAACGGCCTAAATCCGAAAGTCGTCAGCTGTTTGAGCTACATTATCAGAGGAAGACCTCCACTTGGAATGAACTGGTGGTTGATATGCTTTTACATTGATATAGTGTAATCAAGGTTGATCTTGGTCTGGCGCTTGCGAACCTTCTTTAAGTATGGCTTAGGCATATGATATCGAATCAGTCTTCGCTAAATCCGATCACAGACAGAAGAAGGGAGAAACTTAAAGTTAGCAAGAATCTTATAAAAACTTTTGTGCTTCCACCGGTTTAGGCAAAGGAAGGCATTGGTTCCTCGTTCTGATAGTTATATGGTGTTCTGCCTGATTGTAAACATCTGATTTTATGTATACAGTACGATAAATATATAAGGTGAGAATGGTCGCAAACCTTGACTACCGAACCTCTATTGAACTGAGTTCAGGTGTTCTGGCTGATAGTATTCTTGGATATAATAGAAAATTTCATTGAAAACGTGCTGTCTATGAAGGAAAATTGTTTCAGTGAATCTGATATCTCAAACTCGACACATTTTAGTTTAGATTTAGCTTTGCCCGACAACTTTTCTGTTCTACTTCCTAGTTTGTCTAGGAGATGGTACATGTTACTTCTATGTACAGTTTAAAATTGTTGACTTCACTGAAGTAATTATTGAACCTTTTTTAGTTTGTGTCAAGGTCATTTCGACTACCGACAAAATACTTCCTAATAAGCTTCACGGCTAAGAAGGTGACTCATCTATCAGTTACTTACTGCATCTTCGGTAGAGACTACTTTCTTTGGGTAAATATCTTTTGTTTTAATTTTTTAGCGTAACTAATGATTCTTGGAAGCATATAGTGTGCTTTCCGGGTATCCTTCTGCTATCCAACCTAAGTTAACCCTTAACTTAAACAAATCGCTGAATCAAATTTAATTTTCTCTCTGGAATTTTACTTTTCACCACTGCAGCTCGAACTCACATATAAAATTAAATTTGTATTATTTTTCTGTTTTTTTTTTAAATATAATTTTTAAGATATGCATGCAAGACTCACTGGTTTCCATGTCCAAGTCTAAAGGGCGATGCTTGTCAACATCTAGGACGTCACCATCAGATTCGGTACCGGAATCATTCGACTCGCCCTGAAAACAATACAAACACATACAATTATACAGCGTGACACATACATACATATATACGTATACTATATATAAATCGTGTAGTATACATAAATTGAGAGCGCACACATACACCAGCGCTAGTAAAATAAACACACACACATTTAGAAAACTATGAATATGTATATATTGACTCTGGTTTTGGTTTTGTTTTTGTATTTTTATTTCTTTTTAAACTAACAACTATAATTGTATTGGTGGGCGACGGAATTTCCGGACTTTAGCGACAGGGATGCGTTCGCAAAACAATTTCATTTAGAGAACGGCGGGGAAAACGGAAAATATGAAGAGAAAAGCGCAGCGCAAACTATAAGAACGCTAAAAGAAATGGCAAAAGAAAAATTGTTGAGGAAAAGCCAAAAGAAGCAAAGAAGTAGACACTGAAAACGGCGACGGATACGGCGTTCATGACTACGACAACGATAAGAGCGACAACAACAAAAACCGCTTGCGCGCTTACTACTTTGTGAGGGTGTATGTGTGCTTGCGGAGCGTGCACACGCGCGCGGCGGCCGATGTATGTGCGTGTGTGTGTTTCTGTGTATGTAAAAGCACTTTTTCGCTGGCTATGTCTGCTTGCCACTGTGCGGCGGCCGCTCACCTTTTTCTTAAAAAAACTTTTTGATGCTTTAACTGAATGCTCGCGACTCTTTTGCCTAACAAACTTTATCATTATTACTTTTAACACAATACCAACTCAGTGTTTTTTTTTTTTTTTGAGTATGACTGTTGCGGCGCGTACAAGGCGCTCCAGCTAAGCGCGGCGTTTATTTTTTTGTCAATTTAGCAGCGTCAAACGCTGCTCGCCGAACCACAGACAATTTAGTTTATTTCTTAATATAATTTTTTTTTTTGCTTGCAACGCGCATACACTTTCCGGCGGCCGCTAGCTGGCTGCTCGCTGACTTTATGACTTCATATACACATGCAGCTGCATTTAGAACGCCGCTGCCGCTGCCGCTACTGTCGTCGTCGTCGTCGCCGCCAACATCAATGTCACACGAGTCACGTTTATATTTTTTACGGCATATGCTATGACTGCAGACGGTGGCAACAATAATAAAACCAACAACAATAACAACGACRCGCATGTACTGTATGGCAGCATAGTAGTAGTAGCTGTAGTATTATTATTTGTAGTTGTTGTTGTGCTGTTGCTAGTATTGGTTGTGATTGTGTTTATAGCCGAGCGACACGAATCAACGAGACGCGGATACGCCAATAACGAATGCGCAGTCAAGAACGACATCGTCTTCGGCAACGCCATTGTGGCAGACATATTTCTAGTCGTCGTCGTAAGCGTCGTAGTCGTTGCATATACACAGTTGTGTGAACGCGGACAGCAAAAGCCACAGCGCCAATGTGGGCGCAAGGGTTAGCGCGGCAGCGCGCTGTTAGCGCCGGCGTTTGTCGTTTGCTTGCAATTTCAATTGGTAGCTGGCATTTGTACTGTTATACGTTTAATTGTTGTTATTTGTGTATGAGCGCTTTGCTGCCAGCGCTGCGTCTGCCGCTGACGTCGTCGCTGCTGCTGCGCACCTTTCGCCGTAAGATACAGCAAGGAAATATCGATTTTATTGCTACGACGTGCACGACGACCACGACGGGCGACCAACGACGAATCCTGCCAAACGCATTTCTCAAGTGCGTTTCTTTTTGCAACGCGGAAGCCAATAAAATAAATATACACCCGCGAAAGTAAGGGCGATTTTCAGCCGCAGCTCACAGCGGCCAAATTCTTGTTGTTTGTATTATGGCAAAAGCACCAAATTTTCACTTAAAATATTCCTTTCCGGAAATTCGCCTAAATTTCTGCTAATCTTTACGTGAGTGAGTGCACACAAATCACAATTGACGCGGCGCCCGTATTATCCACCGCTTTTCGGCAAAGTTGTTGTTTTTCAAAAATTTAAATTTATTTTTCATGCCCGTCTGGTATACGTATGAGCGCTTATAAATAGCATAACCAGTAGAGACTCAAAACGCACACATATACACACACACATATATATATATATACAGCAGTTATAAAAGCTTGAACACAACAAACACGCACGCACGCCTTTGCCAAACGCCTGTCGCCGGCAAGCACCTTTCTCAAACTAATTGAAAAACTATGCAACGCTGCTCTCGCATGCAAGCCAGCAAACAACCCGTTCTAAATATGTATGGCAGTAAAACTTTGCCGATTTATAGGCGCGCGCGCGCGTACAATACAACTCACGCGTACTCATACTTACACATGGCCACACGCGCGCACCATTGCGGTGACCACCCGCAGACATAGCACACCTTCAGCATCGTGCGAGCAGGCACCCGCATACATTCACGCTCATGGCCACCACTGTCGTTCGCACATACGCCTACATAGTAAAAAACGTAACGTAAACTACGTAAGAGTCCTTCGGCGCGCGTTAGTCTGCTATCTATAGCGCGTACGCTCTCTACACTCACACTTTTCCATGCTCACTCGCTGGCGCATTCTCTTGGCGCAAGCGCACCACAGCCGCTTCATTCCGCCTGCTGTCGGCCGCATCTCTCGTCACGCTATGCCACTTGACGTGCGGCGGGTTGTGCAGCTTGTTCGTTGGCCTTCGCGCGGGTCGGTGTTGCGCCGAGTTTACGCTTTTAATTCATCGAAAACAAAACAGAATGGAAACAGACTGGAAATGCGTCAATGCAATTTTGTTTTCGTCTTGCGGCGCTCAGTTCATTGCAAAGTTAAAGCACAGGAAAAACGAAAAAAAAGCAAAAACAAAATTCGCTGAAACAACTCGTGTGCACGGCTTTGAGTAGCGCACCGTCGATTAGCGATTGTTTTTGCAAGCGTAGCATTAATGCCGGAAGTATGTACAATGCGGGGGTAATCGATTATCGAAAGTGTTGTGCATGGTCACAATGCCCATTGAGCAGTTTGTGGTTCTGAAAGGGTGTGAAAATGTTAAGAAGGGGATGGCATAACACGTTTGAAGTATTTTCAGGAATTTATTTATATGATTTTAAGGTTTACGTTTTGATTAAAAAAATATATAAGTTTTGTAATACTGTTACTACATCATCCTCGCGGACTTTTTGGACTATAGAAGGGGGCTTGAAACTAAAGACTCAAAGTTATATTGGACAGTATCTAAACTTACAGTAAATATCAGGACTTTAGTATCCATATTTGCTTGACATTTCGCTGGACTAGTTGCTCACTGGCTATTTTAGAACTAGGGCAGGCTCCGAGGCGTACATAATCTTCAAAAGCTTCCTTTACTTATCTATGATGAGCTTATCACTAGCATTTGTTGTATCCTTAGCATAAGTTATCCAAGTTATATTGAACAATTTTGCCGAGTGGATAGTTCTTGGTGACATAAAAAACTGGGGTTCATACCGCATACCTAGTCCGCCGTATGTGATGATGCTCCCTCATCAATGAAAAGTTCCATAAGCTCTTCTTAAAGCTTCTGCAGAAAGTTGTTTTACTAATATCTTCGAGGTTGAAAATGAAATATGGACAGTTCGGTTTTTGGGTAATTTTTTTGTATGACTTAATTGAGTTTCCAGGGCCTTCTCAAAACTATTTTGGATGGTGTATGATATTGTCATATTGACGGCTAAGCTGTTTGTAAAACATCGGACAGTGATAAAGACTGTCAAGCTAAATATGAACAAATACGACACAACTCTCTCTTAAGGACCGCACCAAGTACTTTGGAGTAGTCTTGGGCAGGAAACTGCTGTGGAAGCACAACGTGGAAGAAAGAGTGGGAAAAGCTGGTAATGCAATGTCTCTCCCCTTTCATACACTGGTGCTCCCCAGCTATTGTAAGATTAATTCTTCTCAAGGTGCAATATATGGGGAACAGAAGCTCGGTGCCCTGCGCAAAGCAGTAGCTGTAAGAACAACTCTTAGCTGAAAACTGTGCAGCAAAATCGGCGGGATGACTACTTGTTGCAGGAGGAATTACATACAAAACCTTCGAGCATAGTTCGGTGCGTAATGCCAGTTTTGCCAATAACCGATTACATGATCCCACTTTTTAACTGCAAAAGAAGAAAGTTCATGTATAACGTCTATATTAGTGGGTCGGGAATGGACGATGGAGTTGGTGCGGGGATATACTGTCCAGAGTTAAACATAAGTCCATCTTTTTAGTTGCCGGAACACTACTGTATATTTCAAACAAGAGTTCTTTGTTATTACAAAAGCCGCGGAGTTGGCCGCTACTGTACCGGCTGGCAATTCCAGAGTCAACATTTACGTAGACATCCAGCAGCTTTGAGGCAGTAACCTCGTATCGCATATCGGCCAGAAGTGTCTTGGGAAGCAGGGCAGCAGTAGAAAGTGTTTCCCGAAGCAAGCAACTTAGCACTCGTTAAAAGAAACTGTAGGAACATGATCGGAATAGCAGCCTTAGCCTTCACGAATATTTGAGTATGAGAAAGCTCTGTGCAAAGTGGGTACCGCACGAGCTTACTTTTAACTAAAGACAACGACGAGTTGATGATTCGGAGCAGTGTTTGGAGATGTTCAAGCCCAACAAACCCAAATTTTTCGTACGATTTGTGACAACAGATGAAGCATAGCCCCATTATTTTACACCCAAGTCCAATCGACATCATCCGATAAATCCACTCCAAAGCATGGAAAAATGTAACAATCGGCCGACGGTAGTTCGGTGCTCAAATGGCTTTTCGTGAACTGTTCGGTTTCCAAATGAGTAATTTTGATTTTCTTTTAAGCTTACCGAAACTAAAGTCCATAAAATTACTTAAGAAGAAGTATCAAGTTTTAGCCTCTCTTGGCTAGCTCTACTTACATTAAAACATTGGTTTTAAATGAGTAACTAAAAGCGCTAACAATTTAAGAAACCCTGACGCCACTTTAAAACCTACAAACTGCTCTCAAAAAAGTCAATTTAAATATATATGTATGTACATAAGCTCGGGATTACGAGTACGCTTGTGGAGTACAC